AATAGAGGAAGAATTATTTGATGATTCAAATGAATTGACTTGGAAAGTTAGTTGGCAAAGGAAGAAAGCTAGTGTAAGACTGAAGAAAATAGAGATTTTGACCTAGTAGATGGGATATTATACTATTAATCATATATTTGAATATGGCTGAGAATAGATAATTGTTAGAAATACAAATATTATTATAACTAGAAAGATAGGATTTCTAACTAGAATATTATATTTTGGTATGAGAAGGGAAATATGAAAATGCTAAGAGGGCTTGAATAAGGGAAGCTTTTGGTTACCCAAATATAACTTATTATGAGAAAATGTAACAAAGATATTGATATTCAGTTGTATATGTATTAACAACAATAAATTAATATGTACCACTGAATTACTAAAGGACCCAGGACAACACATTGTTTATTAAGTATTTATGATTGTAAAACTAGAAAATTAATAAAATATTTATAAAAAAAAACCCCATTCCATTCTAGTGAAAACTAGTTTTTTCCACATTCCTCCTGAATGTGTGAAGTAAAAACATTGCAACTGATACACTCACAAAGAGTGCTGGTTAGTTTTGTAGCTATCAATTTTTCATAATGAAAAAAAAACATTTATCACATCTGAGTCTCCTTGCTCTTTATTGTACCATATGAAATCTAAATAATTGTTTTAAGAAACGTATGTTGTATGTTGTATTTTAGGGCAAGGGGTTTTTTTTTTTTGAACTTTCAGTTGGACACTGCTAGACCAATGTTACCTGCTTGCTGTTGTGGATCATTGCAATGAAATCTGGGAGCAGCATTGGCACTAGGACATTGGGTTCTTCTATCCAGTTGTCTTCTTCAGCCTTCAGGCCAAAACAGAAATTTAAAATAGGAGAGAGAAAAATATAAGGACAGCTACTGTTAGTAAAAAGAAACAGCAATTGGGTCACAGGCAGGATTCCTTCAGAAGAAAAAATTAACTAGGAAAATCAATTACTTTAATCAAAACTACCAAAACAAAGGATTGTGGGGGCAAGACAATACTGTCATACCTCCGTTAGGCCAGTTTTCCTTCTCCAGGTGATGCTGCAGGGCACAGCCTGGCTCTCAATCGCATAGTTACTCTCCATTGACTGCAAAGCGACAAGGATCTCATCTGCACCATTAATCTGTAAGAGACCTATTGGAGGCTACAGTTCAAGATGGATCCCTAAGAAGGAGAACATATAAGGAAGCCAAGAGGGGAAAAAATGTACCTGGGTCTAACACTATTTGAATGTGTTTCAGACACTGCTCTGGTCTTTGGGCTTTGCGAAGTTGGGCCAAAGCTACTTTCCTCTGTTTCTCTCGTTCCTGCAGCTGCTTCTGACCTCCTTGCTCTTTGCTCTTCTGCAGGACAGCCTGGCAAACTTTGTCCAAGTCTTGATGGTTGTGCCTTGTACTTGTCTGAAGAGGAAAAGACTTCAGGCTTATTTGGTGGGTACCATCCAGCATCTTATTATCAGAGATGCAAATTGGAAGCTGGGGAGAGGACTGTGGCTTAGCATTCCATGAAGATACCTCCTGATCACTGTCTGACAGTTCCCAAGCATTGGGTGCCACGTTTTCTTGGAGATCTGAGTCAGCAGGTAGTGGCTCCTGCCAGCAAGTGGGCATCAATTCTTCATCGCTGACAGGGGGCCTTCGGCCACTCTTGGTTTGGATCCTCGTAAATGAAGGAGCAGTTGTAGAGAGTCTGGCTACCAGCAACTTCCTTCGCAGCCTTTCGGCCAAGGGGACAAATATCTCCTCCTCCTCCTCACTCTCGCTAATGAGCTGCAGTCTCACATCTGTAGAAGCAGCCATCTTGACAGAATTGCATGGACCATGGGGCTTTTTCCTGGCAGGTGAGCAAAGGAATGAATCCTCTGAGTCTGAACTGGAGAGCACAACTACCGGGTTGTCAGGAGAAGGCCGGATACTGTTTTTTGGGTCAGGAGGTTTGTTTACAGGAAAGAAAACTGGTAGTTCCTCACAGTCACTCTCATCCGGTTCTGAGAACATGATGTTTAGCTCCATGCACTGAAGAGACTGTGCTGGGTTGGAGTGACATCTGAAGAAAAGAAGCGAACAGTTGAATTCAACAATAGAAAGTTCTCCCTCTTCAAAAATCACATTCCCTCAAGGATCATTGATCAGGGTCTAATGCTAGAAGAGAAAAGAGTCAAAGCCAACTATGGGAGAGGTCAATCAAAATCAAGTCACCAGACCTCAGCATTTGTTCTTTCTATTCTCCTGCCCAGTGTATACTCCTGGATGAGGAACAAACCAGTCTGCCTACACTTCTGAAGTCAGGATAAGGAGTATAAGCTTCCACATTGGGCTTAGCTAATGCAAAGTCAGAGCAACAATCTTCAGTACAATTTTCCCCAAGTGACTCTTCTCCATGTGTGTTTATGATGCAGTCCCCAAAATTTCCAATCAGCATGAACAATGTCCATGTTTTAAGAATTCTGGGAGCTGGAGACTGTTCATCTCAGAAGATAACTGATCAGGTTGTTTGGGAATTCTGGATGCTATGGAAAAAAACATTAGAGGATGCTATTGAGGAGATCTGCTCTAAGGAACAGGAAGCAGACAGTTTCCAATGCTTATCAATTCAAAGCCTTCTGTGGACTCCCCTACTAGTTCCCAGGAGTTGCAGATGGTCTGACTACCCAAGTGAAAAGATGTCATGCCTTTAGGAACTCAGCAATTAGAGTTATCCAGCCCTGGTTGCTAAATACTTCCTGTGGAGGAATGGGGGGAACACCATTATTCCTTGTGGTCACTCTGGAACCTTCTAAGAACATCTGCAATAGAAGAACATCAGAAGTCTGTGGAGTAGACCTTTCCCACCATTGACTGACCAAGGATTTAATAATTCATCACTGACGTCTTCCTTCTACACTTTCAAAGGGACTATATTTTATCATTTATTCATATTACTTACTAATCTTTTCTCAGGGATTATACAATAAAAATAAAAGCCAGCAATAGAATTGGCAAAATAGGAAGGTCTATAGAGCCCCCTTCAAAGTGAGGGAATCAAATTTTCAGGGGAACTCCAAAATTCCATTTTTTGTAATTCCCCAAAATAAGGAGGCCATCACTGAACAATTCTTCTGCCCACGCCTCTTCCAATCATTTGCCTGTCTGATGGTTTTTAATAACGAATCAGAATGCAAGATATCAAATATCATCAGCATCCTATACTCCTGTCAGATAGAAAGGCAACATATTTGTATTTTAAAAATTACAGCATTAATCTCCATATATTCTAATTATTTGCATTATGATATAATCCAAATATACTTACAAGAGAGAGAAGGGTTCATAAACTGTCCTTTCTTTGATGTGAAACAAGCAGGATTCTGTCACCAATTATGTGAATTTCTCCTAGGGAAAGAGAATACTCATTATGAAATGACTTGTGTTGCCTGCAACTTTAATTGTATAATCTGTTTTATTGCCAAAAGGATGGAATGACATTTTTGTATAGGAAGATATAGAAGTTGTTTGTTTTGGAAGATGAAATGCAGGAATCCCCTGCCTTTTTGAAGAATTTCTTATGAGCTGTTACATATGCTCTGTTTCTGACTGCTAAAGGTTTTGACATTTTCACAAAAGAGACCTCTTCTCCATGAATAGTTTTTCCCTTATGATGCTTGGATCTATAGCAGTGTTTCTCAACTTTAGAAATTTTAAGCTGGAAGGCTGGGGAAATCTGGAAGTTTAAGTCCCACTCATCTATTCTAGAAACTCTAGGAAGAGTACAGAGCAGACCTACAAAGCTGATTAGGGAACTGGAGGCGAAAACATATAAAGAACAGTTGCTGGAACTGGGTATGTCTAGTTTAATGAAAAAAAGGACTAGGACATAATAGCAGTGTTTCAATATACCTCAGGGGTTGCCACAAAGAGTCATGTTATTCTCCAAAGCATCTGAAGGCAGAACAAGAAGCAATGGATGGAAACTAATCAAGGAAAGAAGCAACCTAGAATTAAGGAGAAATTTCCTGACAGAACAATTAACCTGCCTCCAGAAGTTGTGGGTGCTCCAACACTGGAAGTTTTTAAGAAGAGACTGGACAGCCATTTGTCTGAAATAATATAGGGTTCTTGCGTGAGTAGGGGGTTGGACTAGAAGAACTCCAAGATCCTTTTCAACTCTGTTATCTTAAAAGTTGCTAAGGTTGGAAACACTGGTCTCTAGTAACAGTACATGCCTGCTGTCCTTTTGCATGTAAAAGTTATGGCTGCAACCCTATAAACACTGGATTGTGTATAAACACTGAATTAAGTAAGGTCCACTAAATTGAGTAGACAGATACCACAGAGAATGCATTGTAGAGCTATTTGCAGCTACAGCCCCGTGCAGGGAATTGGATCTGCTCAGTACAGGTACATATAGGATTAATTGCTTGCTAGTGGTAACACTATTTTAAAACCAAAACAGCTAAAGATGACCTAAGCCTATATCACCGATGAGGTGAGAGCAACGATGAAGAAAATATTGTGGGTTCATAACAAAATAAAGAAGTTATCAGATTAAGTTTATAATGTTGTCCAATGCCCAACTATATACATGTTTATAAAATACCCAAGCAAATCATATTTTAAAATTTTTGAAACACTCTTCTGTTATGGAAAGATTCGTCTAAAATCTTATGATAACAAACAGCAGATTCCAGATTTGCTTTTAAACAACAACAAAAAAGAATCATTGTACTATACCATACATAGGAAGGAAGGAACATTCCTCGAGAGACGAACAAAGCTCCTTTCCGTTTACGCAACCCGCCTTAAAATATGACCCCAACCTTCACCACGTGAAGACGGGTGCTCGTCGTCTGAAGCCAGAGTTCTCCGATTAGAAAAAATCATACGAAATGTTTCGGCTCTCACCCCATCTCTTCCAATTTCTTTGCAACGAGAGCCTGCACCTCCGAAGCCAGGCGCCGGCTCATTCGTTCAAATATTCGTTCAAATCCCGCGCTCGATGCCGCCGCTGCTCCCGGACCCGGAAGTGTCGCAGCGCAGGACGGGGCGCTTCGCAGGGCGGCGAGGGAAGGTCAAATGGCGGCGCTGCTGGGCGGGTTGGCCTTTTTGGGCTCCGCGGCCGGCAGGCAACGTGAGTCGGAAAGGTTGTTGGGAGGGTGGAAGTCTGACTGGGTTGGTGATGAGCTCCGGGGAAAAGGCAGCAGGCGGCGGCAACGGAAGATTTGGAATGCTGTGTTCCAGTGTGTGAAGTTACGGGCAGGAATTCAGCGGCGGGGGGAACCTCGGGGCGTGGAGGCTTTGCTTGGCGTAGCCAATCTTCCTTTCGCTTGCAAATGGGCTAGAGGGATACGTTCCTAAGGGTTCATGCACAAGATTTGCAACCAAATAGGCCGGCGATCCTTTGCAGAAGTTGATGCATTTCCCCGACCCCCGTCGCCGTCCGTGCTTAAGAGCGAGCCTGGAAAGAGCCCTACAAAAGTTGGGAAGCCTGCTCGATCTGCTGGGCTATGTTATGAAGGATTCTACTAAATGTATTATTGCTGTCTTAGGGAATCCGGTCGTCTTCCTTTACTGGTGCCACAACTCACAAAGTGTTGTTTTAGCTAAATGTCTATGGAGACTCTCAGTCATCCAGGTCATAGTTATCCCAAAGATGCTTTGAAGAAGCTTCTTGGATGAGAACCGAAAGGTCTTCAAAGAAAAACAAAGTCCAGTTGCCCCGTGAAAAAGCATCCTTGGGATGAGGTGTTTTGTTTTAATGGTGCTATGGCTAGGCTTCATCAGCTTTTAGAATCTAGTTTGTTCTGTCTTTTTTTTTAGTTCTGGTACAGGTAATCCTCAACTTACAACCCTCCATTCAAAGTTACAGCGGCACTGAAAAAAGTGACTTACATTTTTCACACTTATGACCATTGCAGTGTCCCCATGATCATGTGATTACAATTTGGATGCTTGGCAACTGGCTCATATTTATGAAGGTTGCAGTTATGTGATCACCCTTTATGACAAGCAAAGTAAATGGAGAAGACAGTTTCACTTTACAGCTGGGTTACTAAACAATTGCAATGATTCACTTAACAACTGTGGCAAGAAAGGTCATAAAATGGGCCAAAACTTAGTTACCAATTGTGTCTTAGTCACAGAAATTTGGGCTCAATTGTGGTCATAAATCAAGGATTACCTGTACAGCAATCCCTCTCTCAGTTCTAGAAGGATGGCAAAGGCAAATCATGTCTGAAAAACCTTGCCAAGAAAACTGCAGGGATTTGTGCAAGCAGTTGCCAGGAACCAACGTTGATTTGAAGGCACACAAACAGACTTAGACACATGGGGGAGAGTTCAGGGGTCATCTGCTTCTCCCCAATTTTTTGTTCTCAGGTCTGCGATCAGATCTTTTTAAAGGTCTGATAGATACTATTGCATTGTTATTAAATGTCTAGCTTTAAAAGAAATTGAATTTCCTGCATTATTGTAAATGTATGCACTTAGTATAAAATACAGCTGCGGTGGAGTTGCACTTAACTATGGGTGCTGCATTTGGTTGCCAAGGAGCTGTCTTTAGGAACAATTTGACTGAATAATCGATAAACTTATAAATTAATAATTCTGAGTGTTTGATTGTACCTCTGTGGCTTGGCACTTTGCTACTTGCATGATTGCTTGCTTCAAATACTGTAAAATCTACCTGTCCAGCATCCATGTCTTAAATAGGCTGCTGAAGGTTACTACCCCAGACAAGTTCAGAAATGTTTTGCTGGAGTTTGCTGCTTTTTAGTTGTGGAACAATCTCCCCAACCTGATATCTGGAAGATTGAATTCTCCTGAAGTTTTGTTTTATTTTAGAAAAGCTGTTAAAACTAAACTTACTAAACTAAGCTGTAGTTATTTCAGATTGTCTTGAACATGATTTATGGCTGAATTGATTTGCATTTTGGACTGGGAACTGCTGGCTCTTAGCTCACACTTTTTATTATCACACTAATAATTGGAACCTCTTGCTTTCTTCCCCTTCCTGTAACAGTTTTGCCTGTTCCCACACTCAGTGCAACTGTAGTAAGATTTGCATCCAAAAAAACTGGAGGCAGCACCAAAAATCGTGGAGGGAACAGAACTGGGAAAAGATATGGCTTCAAAAAATTAGATGGTAAGTTTCTTAATCACTTTACTGTAGTTTCCTGCTTATTATTGTTATTATTAACAGCCCATCAATAAAAACAGTTGAAAAAAAAAACACCCCAGATTAATTTTCTTGCTCTTTGGTATTAAACATGGACTATACTGATTGAAGGGCCTTTGTTAATTGAAGAATCTTTCCCTTCCCCTTCCTCTTCCCTTTGTTCCATCCAGTTTTGCCATTTCAGCCATCTTTATTCTTTTTAATTTGGGGTTTTTTTTCTTTGTCTTTGAATATTTTTACCTATTTGTAAACTGCCTAGAGCGGCTGGGAGTTGGGCAACAGATAAAATTTAATGAAGTAGTATTATTTTCATCTGTTCACAACAGTGAAGTCACAGTTGCTAGTTCTTTAGCTGATATTGGCCTTCCTATGCATCAAATCTTTCCTGAGGACTAGGCTGTTCTAATGTATCGTATGTGCAGATTTAAGCAATGTGGCTTTCTATAATTGACAGATAGAAATTTTGTCAATGCGTTGACATATTAAGTACCACTTAATTATGGTTTGTTGCACAGTCAGCCAGATATTTAGACTGGATTTGGCATTTTTAGCCATCTATTGATTCCCAAGGACTTGGGATAGGGAGATGTTATTTGACAGTATTAAAGGTATTGTTGCAGGATGTAAATTGTTCTAGTGGAACTAATTGCCTTTTGCAATTGATGAATATTATTTGGGCATCTGGATATTTCTGTACTATGCCTGTCAACTATGAGACAGCCAGTAGGTGGTGGGACTGCAATAGTTTAGAATTCTGCCTATTTATTACAGAATATAGGTCCACTATTTAAAATTAGTACTTACATTCTGTACATTTTCTTTAGAATATAATTTGGGGGGGGATACAATAGGGAGACTCTAATTAAATTAAGTGAAAGGTTCTGAGCTGTCATATCAGGTTTACATAACTCTGTAAAAGGTTGCTGATTATTTTTTTATGCCATTGTTGCCTGTTGGTGAATAAACCTGACCAATAAATGATGTCAAAATTGTAGCTGGTGGTAAGTTATTGGAAAACCAAAGGGAAGATAAGGATATTCAGTAGACTCCACATTTTGCAGAAGTATCTCTCCAAAAGCATCCCCGATAGCAAAAATAAGTTTTAAGCCAAAAGCCCTTAGGGGACAAAAATCTCCCAACCCTGTGATTCTCTGATCATGTCTTGGAAATGAGTACTTTTTATGAAGTCCAATATATTTGTTACTGTTTATGTTATTGCAGGATTCCCTTGTTATAGCATACACATGGCCTTAGAAATTTGAACATGTGCTTATTGAGAGAAGGAAGAGTGTGGGAGGAAAGGAAATGAAAAAAATAGCAAGGCTTGGCTCCAGATCCCTCTTTTTTTCCTCTAAAGTAGTACTTCTCAGCCTCAGCATCTTAAACTGTGTGGATTGCCTGGGGAATTCTGGAACAACTTAAATTGGCTGAGGTTGAGAAATTTTGTTCTAACAGTAAGAGGTTGAAGACTGATATCCGGATGTGGGGAAAAAACATAGCTCGAACAGTAGTATATTGAAGAGCCCAGATGTAGGGGGAAAATAATTGTAAGCTTTTTGGTGTGGGTTGCTTTTGTAGAGCTATGCACACATGAAGCTTTAAGGAAATATGCTAAAAAGAGTTCAAACTCTAGCCCTGATATTGAGGAGACTGGAGTGGTGGGGTGGGGAGTCAGTAGTCTTGATGGTGCTTTGCTGTCTCCAGAATTTTCAACAGTACTCCTATCATACCAGCTGCTTTGTGGGAACAGTGGGAAAAGGTGTTTGCCTTCCTGGCTATGTTTATGAGCTTTAGTGGAGGCATCTATTTGAGGGCCATTAAAGGCAAGACTAAATGGTCTATTGGCTTGATGCAGTCCACTATTTCTTTATATGCTTAGGAAATCCACCTCTTGTGATGGGATAAAAAATGGGTTGGGGAACAGGAAGCATGACTTGATCCTAGCAAGAGTGTAGATGGAATTTGGGAAGAGATAGACGCAGACAATTCAGGACCACCCCAGAGGCTACTTAAAGCAAGCCAGCATGTATGGTTCCTCCTTTGTCCTAATGTGTAGCATTAGTTTACATCCCTAAGAAAGTACATGAGATGTTGAAAAATAGATAGTTTTCGCAGTAACGAAGCTGGAGAAAATTTTAGATAGTTTTAGGATTTTTTTTTTTTTTTAAGCCAGAAGAGTTTAATTTCAGGGGAAGCAGATTTGGCTGCTGATTTGCTCCATTTGGAATGAGCCAAATCAGAAGTGATGTTGGTTGAGCTTGACTCTTGGCACATCATATCATTCTCTTGATAATAGTACTGACGTGATTTTGTCAATCACCTTCCTCTAGGGTGTTTGCCAACTTTCACATTTTGTCTATAACTCTGAGATTCCCTGGTGGTCTACCATCTCCCAACACTAAACAGACTCCAGGCTTGTATTTGCCAAGCTCTGAAAAGGAAAAGAGATGCCAACTGTTGAAGAATAAATATTAAAATTGCCTGAAATGGCAGAGATGGTGAAGCTAACTGTTTTGATTAGAGCAGGGGTCCCCAGCCCCGGTCTGTGGACCAGTACTGGGCCGCGGCATGCCAGCAACCGGTCCGCACAAACAAGAAAAGCCCCATTCGTGGGATGCAAGCAGCACACAAAATGATGTACCTTCCGGTCCGTGGAAAAACCTCTTTCCATGGAACCTTCTGGTGCCCAAAAGGTTGGAGACCTCTGGATTAGAGATAATGGACTAGACAGCTTTATAAAGAGACTTTGTGGACTTTCTATGTGTTAAATACAATAACAGATGGTTAACAGAAGGATTTGAAGGAAGATGTTTGGACTAACCTGTTGACTGTTTTTTCTTTTAAAAAAAATTACATATATATTATGACAGAAGTTCGGTCGATTTGATTTTCAGATAGAGATTCTCTCGTCTGGAATATTTCTTTCTTTAATATAGTATTCTGGTTAAATAGGGTTGGGAAAGTTTATAACTATTTGTAGATCCGTTATGTAAAGGGGAGGAGAATTTATTGATTTATTTGTTTTTTCAGTATCCAGCCAGGGTGGTTTCTTTATGTTTAATATTAAATTTATTTGATATTTCGATCATTTCCCCCCCCCTTTTTTGTATACATTTTTTTTACTTTTTGTTGTTAGTGTTGGGATATATGGTTTTGTTTTGTATTTTATTCTTGTTGATAAAATAAACTAAAAAAAAATTAGCCAGACCAAGCCATGATAACTTCCAAAGTAAGAGTCCCCAAAACATCAAGTTACAATGCTTAGTCCAAGGCAGACGAGTCATTAATATGCTTCAGGATATGAACATTCAGGCCCTATAAGGATGCAGAAGGGGTTCCTTAACAGGCCCAGAATGTTCTAAGTAAGTTGCATAGCCAGCTCCCAGATTTCTTCATCCTTCTCATACAAATACAAAACAATTCAGTGTTATCATAGTTCTCATAAGGCTGTCTAAACCTCTCCATGGTCAGATGACCAAAATTTGGGTGCTTGGCAACTGGCACATATATACGATGGTTGCAGCATCTCAAGATCTTGTAATCGCCTTTTGTGACCTTCCCAGCTGCCATCTGACAAGCAAAGTCAACGTGGGAAGCTGGATTATTTTAACCACTACATGATTTACTTAATAACTGCAGTGATTTGCTTAGCCACCATGGCAGCAAGGTTGTAAAATCGAGGCACAAATCACTTAACTTCTGCCTTACTTAGCAACCGACATTCTAGTTCCAATTGTGTGGTTGTAAGTCAGAGACTACCTGAACTTGAATGTGGATTCAGGATTACTGAAATGGAACCCTTTTCCTTCTTTTTCTGTTGGTAATCTCAAGATGGCAGTCTACACTAAATGGAGAGTATTTGGTGAATTAATGTATGAATTAGGAAATCCCTAACTTAAACTGAGGCTCTTCTGATAAATCTGTTGAGAAAATACCTTGGATATGTGTAGAGTGATGTTACTGCTAGAAAGCCTCAGCCAATCAGATTAAGTAAAATGAGGGGTACGACTCTCAAGGCTTGAGTCTCAGATCCTTTACCTTTGACCTCTTATCTTCTGCAATGGGCCCCATTTCATGAGAAGGAATGTTAAAATAAGTTGCTCTGTTGTGCTCCATTTGTATTCAGCTAAAATGCACTCAAGCTGTCTTGTTTCTGAGGTTTAATTACTTTAACTCATTTACAGGACAGTTTGTTCACGCAGGCAACATATTGGCCACCCAGCGTGTGATTCGGTGGCATCCGGGAGCTCACGTAAGATGTTCTCTTTGTTATTTCAAATACCACTTAATTAAGACTTGATTCCATTTTTATCAAAGCATCTGTTTCCTTGCCTTATTCTAAATTATCCTGGCATTAACCATTTTTCATTATGGTCCGCCAAACCTCTTGGCCTCGTTTTTTATTATTTTTCAAGATTCTTTCTCTCAGCTGAGACAAGAATAAAATTCTTTTTTTTTTTATCTCTCTTGCTATGAAAGTGCCGACATTAATAACCAGAAACTGGAGCGTCTCTCCCACTCTGATTAGAGTTTCACAGTCTTTGAACCACATCTTTATATTTAGTAAAAATCCAGACCCAGTATAGTTGCAGTATGAAATACCAGATTATGTCAGATACACTGGAAACCCATCTTCATAGCTGGGAGGAAAAAAAAACTCTATAGAATACCTGAGGTGAAGCAAGAGAATCATAGGAAAGTGCATTATGGTGCATTGGATGACTTCAGATCACCCGGGGGAGGGGGGAATCAAGTTGTGGAAAAGGAGAATAATCAGGCATTTCTTTATCTTGATCCATAGCACAACTTGCATATATTTTTGTAATCCATGCCTTCTAAGGAGAAATGCTTGCTTACCCAGAGGCCAAGTCCATCCCACGAAGTAACTGGGCAAGATGATATCATATAAAATTGGGCTTGCTGGAGATACCATCTTTAAGACTAAAATTATCTTCAGCCGCTTCTGGATGTGAAGAAATCAACTGTCGCCCAACATTTTTTGGGCTTACAAGCTGACATTTATCTTATTCAGCTGATGTCAAACCAGATTCAGGCTAATGGGTTTAGCTGTGACGTTATTAGAACTCCAAAACACACCATTGGGAGCAGGTGTCAAGAAAAACTGGCGGCACAAGGAGCAGATGTAATTGGCTTGCAAAGAGACAAATCACTGAGGGTGAATTTGTGGGTTGGTTTCCGAACATTTTGTTACCAGGCCAGATAACATTTTTAGTGGAATTTCACTGATGTCGGTTAGTATTCTTCTGTTCACCTCCCAATGACCTGACCTGATGTAACCTCCCCATCACAAGCCTCTCACTGAAGACCCTCACTTGACATATCCATACTTGAAGCCCTTATAAACAGAACACTGACACTCCCAAAACTCCACTGAAGAGGTTACCTAGCCTGGTAACAAAACGTTCGGAAACCAACCCACAAGCTTCGAGAACGGACCTTCACTCTCATCCTACATCCGGGCTACAGATATTTGCCACTATTGCAAACAAATTGCTTGCTACATCCCATGAACCAGGTATCCCAGGTTACAAGCGTAAACCCTACCAGAGGAGGGATTCTGAATTTAATTTGCAGAAGTGTCTTTTGTTTCTGGAATCCTGCAATTTCACTTTGACATCTTTGCATTATGCTGTATCATTCTGGTGATAGTGATGTCTTTCTTGCACAAGCAATTGTGCTTTAGTTTAGCACACAGTTGGCAAACTGTACCAGTGTCTGAGAACTGCTGGCAGTCCCAATGATAGGCACTGCCTGTGCTCTGATCCAGAGGCTGCTTCTTCCTTTCTTTAATTATGATTCTGTCTCTCTGTCCCAGGTGGGGATGGGCTGGAACAAATGGTTGTATGCTCTTGAAGATGGAATTGTGAGGTTCACTAAAGAAGTCTATGTACCTCCTGCCCGCGGCAAGGAAAGCCGAGAAGTGATCTGCCGGTTGCCCAAAGGAGCTGTGCTATATAAAACTTTCATCAACGTTGTTCCTACCGGAGAAGTGGGAAGTTTTAAGTTGATCACCATGATCTGAGAGCTAGTTCTGAATGACTTTTGTTTAGTCCTCTGCAGCTGGGAATGAAACAATATTTGGAGCAACTATAGCATATCATACAGAGACATGCTTTTAACACACAGCTCTGATGTGATGCTGATGAAAGAAAGATAGTATTTTTTTCCCAAAACACAACAGTAGTACTACTGCTGCTTACTTCAGAGGAACTATCTCAAGCTAATTCTTTACTCTTGGGGTAAAAGCAGATGCTGGAGGTAGGTTTCCAATTTAAGAGTGTCCTTAAGCATTCTCAGCAGATTTTGTAACCAGTATGTCTACCTACAGACATATGAAATTATTTCTTCCCAACTTTAGCGCGTCACAATTTGTACACATTGTAATATCATTATTTGTACATTATGCCAGCGTATGCACACAATAAACTTTTGCAGTGTTGCCTGCTATGTACCAAACAGATGTGCAGTTGCTATAGATGCAGTCTAGCAGGAAGTTCCTATCCCAGCTTAATCCTTATCCAATGTGTCAAAGTAGTAATCAGTTTACACAGCGTTTTTATATATAATGAAATTTCTGTGTGGTTGGCTTGGCTTAGTGCATCGTGTGGATGCAGCCAGGTGGTTTGAAAACCATAGATTATGGCATTACATGTGAATCATAGTTATTACTTAGAACCAAGTATGATTTCAGTCCCAGTTTTATAGCATATGACTATTCGGGAAACCTTTATAACAATACATAATTCAAACTTTATTGTAACAAAAGGAGGAAGCAAGATTACTTGATTGTTTAGACTAATTGCAAATTTGGCTTATGGTACCTGGGTGGAACCTGGTCTCTAGATAATTTTTCTGTTAAGACTCATTACTTTGAAATTATTTTACAGTAGTGACTGTCTTGCCACTATTAAAAAAAAATCATGTCCTAAATATACGACATTGCAATTCCAGACCTTAGATATATTTGTCACTGTGACCAACTGAAACAGGTGACCTGGGAAACGGCCCACAGCATAGCATAAAGTAGACAATCAAAATTAGAGAAGGGATGGGATGAAATTCCATGGCAAGGTCTTTGTTTCAGCTTGCTTTCACCCGTGAAATCTGAAAACTTTAATGCCTGTGCCTTCAGGTAGCCACATACAGTTCTAGTGCATAGGTGACAACCTTCCTTGACCTTGACCGTTAGCCACATTTGCTGGGGCCTAAGAAGTTAAGAGTTTAAACATCTGAAGAGTGCAAGGGTGCCCATTTCTTTCCAAATCACACTATTCGGCCAGACTCATACTTTGTTGGCCCCTGCTTTTTGGATTGAAAAAAATATATATTGTAAATTTAGGGCTTGTCTTCACTGGGAAAATAGTCGGTCTAATCAGCCTGTACTGTACATAGTTAAAATATGAAATGCAATAGTGCTAGCTTTCATATGCATTACAGGCACATTTTTCTTTTCATGTTTCATTGACAAATGCACAATCATCAGATTCACAAGTCCCACTGATCCCAAAGCAAACAAGCCGCATTTTGACAGTGTTCTGAGAACTCAGTCAATGAATGCCACGGCTAACACTAGATGAGGTGAGTTGTTTTAGCAGATTTGCTTCTCTCTCAAGATCTGACGTAAAAATAAGTCTGGCTGACTTCACATATCCCAACAAGCCAAAATGTGATTATTCAATAGATCATGGTGACTGGCTTCATGTTCCAATCTGAGTTGAAGCTCTTTTATAGCTTTATGCAGTGCGTGAAGCCAGCAAACTGGAGGCCCATTGGTGCTAGCAATGTCCACTCCCTAATCGCCATCATTTCCTTCTGTTTTTTACCTACAGATACGTAGCTGTAGTTCTAACTAAAGTTCAAGTAAATCATTCAAGAGGCTATGGAACTCAAGACAGTAATTAGCTGTATAAATACAGCATGCTAAGCCGCAGTGTGATTTCTTTGGTTTTGGCTAATTGGGTCATGGCCCTGTTCCAACAAACCATGGGTAAAACAAAGGTTTCAGGTAATGTATGAACCAAGCTGTTAAAGAAAAGCCTGCTTGCCTTTAAATGTGAAATACAGTAGTACAAGTACACTGTTGGGTGTGTGTGTGTGTTAGGAGCACAGAAACAAAAATTTACTAAAGCTACCTCTTTATGTGTTAGCCATATCAAGTGTTACATCAACTGTCCTTAAAATAAAACCTGAATACAAATATACCTGAACTCACATCTGTTCTTTTCAATCTCACAGACAGGAAAGAGTAAATAAGTAACTTCATTCTGGTAGCTTACATGTTAGACTGTAGAAGAAATCCCAAGCATTTTCCAATTAGATTAATTTTCATTGATGGCATTAGGAACATTTGGAGTGATTATTGATCAAACAGAAACAAACAAAAATCTGTCCCCAACAAACAACAGATTTAAGCTTATCACGATTGTCTGAGCTCCAGCTTGACAAGTAAAATAAACAATTCCGGTATACATGAAAATAGCTAAAGCTTCCCTTCCAGGGAGATTTCTACATTTTGACAGGTAACCCTTTAATCAGTTATGGCTTGGCTACAAAACAGGCTATTTGTATTTCAACTGGGGAAACATGAGGCATAAATGCCAGGCATGTCTTCTGCTTAATCTCTGAATGTGTCCGGATTTGCAAAATGGCTCCCACCCTTCTTCAGAAGGAGAAAAACAAATCCCACCAGAATTTGTCCAAAGAGTTCATTCTCTGGTGTAGATTGATGAAAATAGCCAGAGGGTAAAATACATTCATCGTGTCACTTAAAGCCTTGAATTGTGTCCTGTGGATATAGTTCTATGACAGCTAAAAGAAGAAAATGTTCAGGTAAATATCTTGAAAGTTTGGCAGCTCTAACAGAGGTATTTTTTTTAAAAAATGGGGGAAGAGCTGCTGTACATTCTCTGAAGGTGGTCTTTGAACGAGAAGCCTTTCTCTGTCTCTTTAAAAAAACAACGAGGGAAGGTTCAGTGGCTTTGTTCCCTAGAGCAATTTGTTCCATTGCGATGAGTACATTTCTGTCTTCAAGAATTAGTTCAAGACAGCAGTCCCAAAGCTGTAATTGTAAGGTGGGTGGGTGGGGGGATGGCTTGCTTTGCAACAATGCCGGAGAGTTTCATTCCATTTCCTCAGCATCAAGGTTTGGCCGATTGCCCTGCAGAAACGAAAGCATTGCCCAGTCTGTGCCGTGGAGAGTGGAGGACTCATTCCCAGCCTACACCGAAGTGGTCCTCTGAGTCTGGTAAGTGGGAGAAGCTTGCAACATGTCTGGCAAGCTCTGCCTGGTTGATAACTCTGAGCCGACTCCGGTTCTTGACAACGTGGCAGGATACCTCAAGGCCTGTTCATAAGGGGGTGGTGACTGTGAAGAGAAGATCAGGAACACGGTATATTTCCTGCCAACTGAGCTCCACGCTCCATTAAAGAATTATTAGAGAGGCAACATATTCACCAACCACTACAACCAAATGATAGGTGATTTCAAGGCCTTGCACACATGGCTGAATAAAGGTGAAGACTGCAACAGATATGAAGAAAACCTCTTACAATTATTGAATGGATTCTATTACAAAGATTGTTTGTAAATAAAGGTTCATTGACTTGGGCCTTCACATATTGTGCTAAGCCAAAAGAATGGGTGCAAGCTTGATGCCAGGAATCAGTACAAGAACAAAGCAGTATTAGACTAGTTTAACTTCCCAGGATACTCCATTACAGATCTCAAAGTAGCTGTTTTTGCCAGCACAATGGACTGAGCAGCAGTTTGTAAAAACTCCCATGCATCAAAAGGTTTCAGGTCATCTCAGAAAGCCTCAACCAGCCCAATGGATAAAAAAAAGCAGTTTTCTGTAATTTGTCTCACATATAATCTGTATCTACCCTAACCACCCTTTCTTTTCCCCATTGTACTCCAATTTAAATCCTGCCTCAATTTAGACACTCTGTGCCTCTGAACAAGGGAGCTGCAGTGCACAAAAGCCTTTGAATAAGATGTGTTTGTCTGAAGAGTTCTCCTGATTACTACAAAGTAACATAATTCTTTTAAAATAAGCCAAACCTGGGTATTGTGCAGACCCACTCATTATGCCTATTAATCCATGGTTTATGGTTTGGAGCAATGGGTGATCTCAGCCTTTGCACGTTATACAAGAACAGTGCAATCCAGTGCAATGGACTTAATGCGTTTTTCCTTCTGATGCAGCTTTCATTTCCATTTCTTTGGTCAGCTCTCCTTAGTACAGGGGTAGGCAACCTTGGCTCTTTTATGACTCGTGGACTTCAACTCCCAGAATTTCTGAGCCAGCCAAGCTGGCTCAGGAATTCTGGGAGTTGAAGTCCACAAGTCATAAAAGAGCCAAGGTTGCCTACCCCTGCCTTAGTACATAGGCCTCTAGTCAACCTAGCAGCTTCTTTATACTTCTTTGTAACTTTTTAAATAAATTATTCTTTTCTATTTTTTTTTCTATTTTATCTTTTCACTGTTTACTATTTGGTTTATTTTATTTTACTTTTTTACTATGTTAGATATATATATATATATATATATATATATCTTTCAAGCACAGGAAACGCATATTCCTTGTGTGTGAAGTGGGTGTTTGTAAACATGCCAAATGTTTCAAAAAAGTGTGATAGCATTTTCCCTTAGTTGTTGCAATTAAATTACCGAGCAGCTGAGCAAGTGATACACTGCACGAAAGGAAATGAAATAAACTGCAAAGCAGTGCAATACGATAAGCATCTAGCTTACAATATAATCCACCAGAAGTATGTCTATAGCTTTCTATTGGCATCTAAATGTTATGTTTAAACACTTGTTACGTAAACTAGGATTGTCATCCAATGCTTTAATTATACTTAAGCTGTAATCCTGCACCCATTTATTTGGAAGTAAGCATTTCTGAACACAAGGGAAACTCTGGTAAACATAGGTGAGGCTGTAATATTGTCCATTAATAAAGGTACGTGCCTTTGCATCATGCTTAGTTTTTAAAAGGTGCCAGTATATATGGTAGTGGATAAAAATAAAAGAAGGGGCATGCTATCTTGTATTTGCATACACACAAATGATTTTTTAAAATCTGGGCTACTGTAATGAGGGACTCATTTTTTAATTGATTAAAGGTTTTAAACCTACTAATGGAAACTGACTTAGGTTCTTTATGTTGTGGTTCCCGGAAATCTACCATAGTGGTAGGAGCCTTCTGATAAAATAAGTTTCTCCCCACACCAAGAGGAAAAGAGAATTTCTATCAGAAGGGCCAATATCCCCATATCTCTTCCTCATTTCCATCACAACTTCCCACAAATCTTATTTTTCTGATGAAAAATAAGGATAGAGGAGAGGCTTTGGATCAAGAGAACTTAAAGACTTATTTGCTTTCACCCACACGTTTAAAGAGCTTCTAACCTAAGATAGGGTTTGGGTTTTGCGTAATCACCTTCCTTTTTTTTTCAAAGGGAGAAACTGTGTTGATTTTTTAAAAAGAGGGAAAGCCAAATCAGAGATACTATATTCCTTGCTATGCCCAGCTGATTTGTCAGCAGCAAGAGCATGGATTCACTGGGATTGCAACACTAGAGCCTTCCGCAAACAGAAGGGACTTGTTTAGCAAACAATGCTACCTGCATTTTAACTAAGAATTTCTGTAACAATTTTCGTGTGTGTGGGAGGGGGAGAGACAATTCTTCCATAAGCCTTTACCCTTTTGTCTAGAAAACAGTTGATTAATCAGAGAACGTGTTGGGTTGCATGAGAGATTTCAAAACTAATTTCATTTATATTTTTAAAAGAACTGTCTTCTTCTTGAAAGACAATGCACATCGGCAGTAGCAATGAATCAGTGCAATAATAACAAATACATTTTAAAAAATGGAATATTGTAATTCACAGACACATATCTGGCATCAATAATTCCCCATCAATGAGATCCTAAAGGCATTCGGGAACAGCCAAGTTTTTATAAGATTTTACAGGTTTCTGGAAGGAAAACCTGTATATATGTTGGCTGGAGCACCCAGTCTACCAAGTATAGGATAAATCAGTCTGTTCTGCGTTTCGCTCTAATCTAGGAGCATGTTTTGCAGACAGACGTCATATGTATGGTACATATGTGTATTGGTAGATATATACTTTCTTTTGAGAGAAGGCAACAGAAGTTCATTTTTAACGTGAGCCAGTGTGCTCATAGTAAAAAAAAATGACAATAAAGCTTATCTTATCTTATCTAGAAAAAGACAGGTAGAACAGGAGTGATTGTCACCTATTATGTCAAAAATACACACATACAATATTTCAGGACTACACAGGGACAGGGAAATTTCAGTATTGTTTTGTGCAAGGATGGGAAAAGCTACACCTGCTTAAAATCTTCCTAATTATCTTCTCTCTAACTGTTAAAAAGCAGAAGAGTCTGCTCTGCTGTTCTTATTGTCTGGGTATCTTGGCACTGAGATGGAATGTGACATATCTAATAATAATGTCTAATCCATATAATTGTGAAAACATGCCCTAAAGACTAAAAGAATCTATAAATCAAAAGATTAATAAGAAAACGCAGAGAGAGGCTACTGCAAATAAGCTATGATTGCTGAACTTACACTTGGCCATGATTCTGAGAAATGAATAAGCATGCTAGGTTGCTTATGAATTTCTGCAGCAGCTCTAATACATCTGTGCAAAGAAATGGCACTCACAATAAACATTAACTGTCCTGCCTTGCTTAGGGCAAAAATTTTGCCTATAAAGATATTCAACCTATTTAATTCAGAGGAAACATCTTTTCTAGGAAAGGAAAGGGAGAACATCCTTTTTTAAATCCCAGGGTTACAGAATTTCAGTTCCTGGCATTGTTCACTCCTGTCAAGGTGGCTAGAGATGCAATTCAGAAATACCTATAATAATAATAATAATAATAATAATAGTAAAGTTGGAAGGGACCTTGGAGGTCATCTAGTCCAACCCCCTGCTCGGGCAGGAAACCCTACACCATTTCGGACAAATGGCTGTCCAGTCTCTTCTTAAAAACTTCCAGTGTTGGAGCATTTAATGCTTCTGGAGGCAAGCTGTTCCACTGATTAATTGTTCTAACTGTCAGGAAGTTTCTCCTTAGTTCTAGGTTGCTTCTCTCCTTGATTAGTTTCCACCCGTTGCTTCTTGTCCTGCCTTCAGGTGCTTTGGAAAATAGCTTAATTCCCTCTTCTTTATGGCAGCCACTGAGATATTGGAATACTGCTATCATGTCCCCCCTTGTCCTTCTCTTCGTTAAACTAGACATACCCAATTCTAGCAACCGTTCCTTATATGTTTTAGCCTCCAGTCCCCTAATCATCTTTGTTGCTCTTCTCTGTACTCTTTCTAGAGTCTCAACATCTTTTTTAAATCGTGGTGACCAAAACTGGATGCAGTATTCCAAGTGTGGCCTTACCAAGGCATTGAAGAGTGGTATTAATACTTCACGTGATCTTGATTCTATCCCTCTGTTAATGCAGCCTAGCACTGTGTTGGCCTTTTTGGCAGCTGCAGCACACTGCTGGCTCATATTTAGGTGATTGTCTACTAGGACTCCGAGGTACCTCTCACAGTTACTACTATTGAGCATGGTGCCACCTATGCTGTACTTGTGCATTTGGTTTTCTTGCCTAAATGTAGAACCTTGCTTTTTTCACCATTGAATTTCATTTTGTTAGTTAGTGCCCAGTGTTCAAGTTTGTCCAGATCCTTCTGTATCTGAAGCCTGTCTTCTGGAGTGTTGGCTATTCATGCCAGCTTGGTGTCGTCTGCAAATTTGATGAGTTCCCCATCTATCCCTTCATCCAAGTCATTGATGAAGATGTTGAAGAGTACTGGGCCCAGAACAGAGCCCTGGGGCACCCCACTACACACTTCCCACCATATAGATGCAGTTCCATTGAGGATCACTCGCTGAGTACGGCCGGTCAGCCAGCTATGGATCCATCTGGTGGTGGTTCTGTCTACCCCGCATTTTTCTATCTGCTCTCTTTTCTGTCTTCCGTTTGTAAGTTTTGGCGAATATTTATTTTCAAAGCATTCTATTCATGTCTCACAATGAGTTCCCTTTCTAAAGTCCATTACTTCAGGTTTGGCATGTGGAGAAAATAAACCTCAACATAGTGCAGGGAGAAAAGGTAGGGTGAGAGGAAAGAAGCGCTGAATTTTGAGGACAGAAGTATGATCTGAGTACAAGGACTTGAAGCTAGATGCATGTTCCAACCTGAGTTCTTACTTATCTACCGTTTGGCCTATCTAAATTATGTGCTAATATAAGGGCTTATATATCTGTAAAAAGTGCTTTAAGTGTGCAATATAAGTTGTAATTGGTGTTCAGGTTGCTGACTGCTCTTATTATTTGTTGATATTTAAAGGCTCAAGGCCATTAAAAGTCCCAGCATAGAGTTCCAGGTTGTGATTTCAAAAACATTTACTTCCAGGTAAAGGATCTAGGTTGTAAATTCCACTGGGATCAATTGAATGGACTCTCTAATAATTATATACAAGATAACATTCATAGTAGTGAACTTGGTGCTATTTCACCTCAGTTAAGTATTCTGCTATAAGCAATTATTTCCTTGCAATTTCAATATCACTCACCCTGATTATTAACTCTTTCACTACAGCACAGGACAGACTGAAAATTGTTTGAAATGAGGCTTCAAAGCACTTATATGAGGCCACAGTTTTAAACAAATGCCAGTGATATGACGGAGTCATATTTGCACAGGGGCCGTGCACTTTTTTCTTTTCTCCTATTATCACTTCTTGTCAAACAAATTCTGTAGATTTTGAAGCCCTGAAAGCAGCAGCAATAGGATGAGCCTTTCATTTCACCACAGTGCATGGAGGCTAGAAACAAATCACTATTCTGACTAAAGTAGCAGAGAAAAGCACCTTCTCATAGACTCTTTTGATTTCGGCGGGCACTGATGCTTTTACGAAATGTGCAATTTTTTTAGCTGTTCAGTTCAAAAAAGACTTGTTCCAGCTTTCCTAAAACTTTTCAGATATTGCTCCACTCATCTCAAGATCAGTTTTCAAGGCCAGAACACTTTCACAACAGCCTGAGTAGGACCAGAACATTTCCAAAATGCTCAGTACAATCATTTTGAACTCCAAACATTGTGTTTTGTACCAGTGTTTTGAAACATTTTAGATTCAAAACATTTTGCACACCACTAGTTGTTAGAAGAGGCAAGATGAGTTTTGTTTCTATTTTAATTTCTCACACCCCTGTTACAAGGCATAGTAAAGACTCTGATGTCTTGAATGGGTTAGTTAGAATACTGGGTAAAGAGCAGCCAGAATACATGTCACAGGGGACCTATTGATAGCTTGAGACCCCAGGAATACAGTCCATCTCTAGCTTTTCCTGCCTTCCCTCAAAAACACATTAGGAATACAACCTCCCTCTTCTCTTTTCCAGGATTCCTTATCTGCACTATCCCTTATCAATAGTATTGTTTATTTTATCTACATCTGACCTTTCCTTCAGAGACATAAGAGGACATACAGAGGATTCTCATCTTCTGCTTTCTCCACAATCACCTTCTGAGATTGGATGGCTGAGAGTGTGTGACTAGTCAAAAGTCGCTGAGCAAATGTCCATGGCTAAAGGTAACACTAACCTCACAAACACCTCAACCGCTCCACCACTCTTTCAATTTCTTGCACAGGTAAGTTCTTGCTCTGCTATCTTAGCCAGAGGGTTTTTAATAAACTCAATTAAAACTAGGGAGAACTCTGAACAGCTGTTTTGAATGGGGGCTGAAGGAGTCTCACATGTCTGCCTATGACATAGTAAACTATAAGCCAAGCTGTATCCTGCACACAAATCTCAAGGTTGGAAGTCTCACTGGTGTCGACTGAATTCACTTTTAAATAATTGAGAAAGAACTATAATAAAAGCAAGTGGCATTCTGTGTCAAGGAAAACCAATACAATTACGCATTTATCGCAATTTCTCTTGATTTAGGATAGGTTGGGTATCTGGAATAGAATGGATTTTGAAAAATTGATAAATCACTCCCTTTTGCATGGATGAATTAAGAAAATGCAGCTGTCCAGATGATGGACAACAAGTTGCATCATCTGCTATCATTAGCCATGTCAACTTGACCTGAAGGGAGTTAATCATCTAACAAGCCCTGAAGAGTCACAAATTTCCTATCCGCACTTTGGTGAGTGGTTGCAAACTGAGAGGAGCAACATGTTCAGGGACAGTTTTGCTTGCAGAAAACATATTTCAGGTTCCACAACCTTGCAGTAAAATGATTACAAGTAAAAGTGGGAAAAGGTCTTGCTTTAGCTCTTTGCTACAGGCTGGATAAACAGATAGACTTCGTCCAACACAACACAAACACTGCAAGTTTAATGTGGACCCACATGGTTTACTTTGAATTACATATATTTTAGCTGAAATCTTAACAAGACAAGGATGGATAAAAAGCTGAAGCAAAGTTGAAAAAAAGCACCAATTATTTCAGATATCCAGAAAGATCCCAAAGGCTACTGTAGCAAGATGAGGAACGACTAAAAATGTTAGTATCTTCATGATCTGTTGCCCTGCACAAGGTTGTGAGAGAAGCTGGAGATAAAGCCATTTGCCTCTATTGAAACCCCCGGGGCTATATTCACCATGAACCAACCCACTCACTTATGGTGTGAACATTTAAATGGACAGATCTCTTATGCACGGTTGCCTTCTTGTCTGCTGTAGCTCCTTGCAGAAGACAGAAAGACTACTTTTCAAAAGATACAAGATGAATCATTAACCAGAAAGAATATAAACAAGTGGCAAGCACTGGAAATTCCTGGAACATTCTGTTCCTTCCTCCAGGATTGAAAAAAAAAAAAAAAACAGAAAAAAATGGAGCAGAGTCCCATGTTATCTCAATGAAAAGTGCTTGGAAGAAATTCTATAAATACCTCATCAGGGGAATAATTTTATAGAACTAGATATGAGATAGACATTTTTCATCCTGAGAGACTATTTTGTACTGATTGCTCACCTCTGGAGAGACTTCTGCCCATAATCCAAATCTATCAGCAATCATCTGGTGGATCTCCCGTTGCCGATCCTTTTTTCGTACACTCTCATAGCTTGGTAGGTGAGGCTGCTCCCACTGGGGAAGCTGATAGCTACCGGGGCTTCCAACACAAAACAATTCATCCCCCTAGATATGCAAAGGAAGAAAAGTCATCTTTCAAAAGCATGGTAGGTTTACAAGACATTTTTGCCCACGTTTAGTATGCATACTGTAGGCAAGCATCCACATTAGGTTTATACTTATTATTATTAAATAGATATAAGGTCAGAACCGAGGCTAATATAACTCCACTGATTTCTTCCTTTCAGTGTCTATAAATCAGCCTCATCCATTAAAGCATGGCTGGCTGGGGAATTCTGGGAATTGAAGTCCACAAGCCTTACCAAAGTGGCCACGTTTGAGGACCCCTGCATTAAAGTAAGCAAGCATTCAGAGTACTCCAACAATTTGCAGCAAGAAGATTGGTGCTAATTTATGAGACAGAATAAATTTCTTTCCACTCATGTAATCCTCGACGTACGGCCGCAATTGAGCCCAAAATTTCTGTGGCTAGGTGAGACAGTTGTTAAATGAATGTTGCCCCATTTCAAAGTGAATCACTGCAGTTGTTAATGTAATAACACGGTTGTAAACTGAATCTGGCTTCCCATTGACTTTGCTTGTCAGAGGGTCACAAAAGATGATCACGTGACCCTAGAGATACTGCGACCGTTGCCAAGCATCCAATGACCATGGAAGTTCTGCAGCCGTCGTAAGTATGAAAAACGGTCATTAAGTCACTTTTTTTCAGTGCTGCTCTAACGCCAAACGGTCACTAAACAAATGGTTGCAAGTTGAGGACTACCTGTATACCAGCTATATGTTGCCATATTTCAATAAGGATGATCGCGATCTGGGTCATTGGCAACTGGTTCACCCTTACAACCAGTTATAACATCCCACAATCCCGGCTGTCATTTGCAACCTTCTGTGCCAGCTTCCCCTGAAAATCAGTGGGGAAGCCAGCAAGGAAGGTTGTAGATTGCTGGGGTAAGTCTTCCCCACCCACATATCTTCCCCCAGCTTCTCTGTGCCAGCCACTCCTGCACCCTCCCTGAGCCTCCCTATTGAACCCCTGCGCACACACACACCAACTTTGGCTGTGCTTCTCTTGTAGCCTCATCGCTCCAATCCTTATGCACTGTTCCCAACCCTGAGTGCACCTTCCTTGCACATCCCCATGCATTCTCCTTGAGCTTCACCTCCCTCTCAGCTTCATGTATCTCTGCACACCCTCACAAGTCCACAGCACGCCTCCTTCACATGCTTGTGTACCCTCACTGAGCCTTGCTGCATCTCCCTTGCATCCTTTCTGTCTATGGCCATGCCTCCTTCGTGTCCTCCCCCACTCAGCAACAGCCCACCTCTGCCTGCTGGCCTGCTTGCCAGCCCCCTGGAACTTGCGACTTCCTGCTGGCTTCTCCACTGACTTAGCTGTAAGAAGCTGACAGGAAGCTGCCTCTTCCAATGACTCTGGGATTTAGTTAACTATCACAACCAGCACTGCAGGGATTGCCATCATTAAGTGATGAGTCACACTTTACAACTGCATCACTGAGGAGTAGAAATTCTGGTCCTGATTGCCATTGTAGCTATAAAGATGAACCCTTTAGAAAAACGGCACCTCATTGTTCAGTGAAGAAGAAACTGCCAAGTAATTCAGATGAGTGTGAAGAATGGCTGTCATGTTAAAATATGTATTTTTTTATTTAGCAACTTTATATAGCTGCCCATTTCATTAAACACGACTGTGAGTGGCATGCAACCAACAACAGTTAAAAACAATATAATAGTACTGTAATACAAACATTAATAATTGTAGTAATAACATTCCTCTAATACAGCGGTTCTCAATCTATGGGTCGCGACCCCATTTGGGGTCGATCGACCATTTTTCGGTGGTCGCCAAAGAAGGCGATCCGCCATTTCCTCCCCTCAGGGGCCGGCGTCGCACATGCGCAGAACGTTTGTGTGACGGGGGTCGCCGTCACACAAACGTTGAGAACCGCTGCTCTAATACATCTAACCTTTAATTTTAAGTGTCAAAGGAGTCCAAACTTAACTGCATCGAAGATGAATTTTTTCCTAATCTAGAAACTCCATATATATATGCAGGCAATACTCAACTTGCAACCATTTCTTTGGTGACCATTCGAAGTTGCAACTGTGTTGAAAAAAACGACTTATGACCATTTTTCTTACTTAACAACCAGTGCAGCATCCCCATGGTCACGTCATCAAAAATCAGACATTTGGCAACTGGCATATATTTATGACGGTTGCAGTGTCCCAAGGTCATGTGATCATCTTTGGGAACCAAAGTCAATAGGGAATCCAGATTCACCTCACAACTAACTTAATAACTGCAATGATTCACTTAACAACTGTCTTGCTTAGCAACAGAAATTTTGGGCTCAACTATGATCGTAAATCCAGGATTACTTGTACCCTACTATAATTCCCATAATTCTCAGCAATCATGATCTATGATTATGATGATTGCAGGTAATTGGATCTGTTGTCCAACCGGCCTCGTTTGGCAGCAGGAAAGACCAACACTTCTACACCTTTCTGAACAAAACCATTCAAGTGCTTTGCGGTATTTTATATTTAAAAAAGGGAACAATCTAGCTTGCTACCCAATTAAAAAGTCTGTAAAGTACTGTACGGTAGCTAAAGTGCCCCAGTCTTTAGTGTGTCTTAACCACACACTAGTACTAATGGGGCCAACTTCTATCATCTTTGCCTGATCAAAAAGCAGTGTTAACTCTATTAGATTCTTTTCTTGCTATCTAGTGAGATATCTTATACCCTAATGATAGGTAGCATCTGTGCTGACCCATACTGAACAGTGCTTATCTGATGATTATATTAAATGTGTCATTCAGATAATTTGCAATTTCACAAATATATCCAAATTCCTGCTAAGACCAGTTTGGTTTAGTGGTTAAGGCACCAGACTAGAAACCAGGAGACTAAGTACTAGTCCCACCTTGGACATGAAAGCCAGCTGGGTGACTTTGGGCTACTCGTACTCTCTCAGCCCAGTTCATCTTACAGGGTTGTGGTTATGGGGAAAATAGGAGAAGGAAGGAGTATTAGGTATATTTGCTGCCTTGAGCTGCTTGTGAAAATAACAAAGGCTTCTTAAAAATTCTAAGCCCTCATCTCAGTCTACTTCAAAAGACAACTGGAAAGGTAAAGGAGAAAAAAAAATCAATAGGCTGTATGGAGGAAGAACAAGATAATAATTAAATTCATTTTACCACATTCATGTGGTTATCCAGATAAACAGTTTCTTCATTATGCTTCCTTTGAGGCCCCATGGCCAAGTTCCTCTACTATACTCAACCCAACCCAACCATGCCTTTCCCCCTGTGTACCCATCTCCTTTTTCTAGGTGATCCATCTGTCCATAAAAAAAGGCTCTCCCACCTGGACACTATGGTTTTCAGCAGCACCTGTCTCCATTCGCTGTGCTCCAGACTGGGATCCTACCAGTCGCTGGTTGCTATTGAAGTAAGAAGGAGGACATTCCTGTGGGATGGGAGGAGAATTTTAATTTTAAAAACAAAAGCTGTGTTTTTCTTCTGGAAATTCCAGACCAGAAAAGCAACCTATTACTCAACATGAACTAGCAAGTGATCTACAGAAATACTAATTCTACTGAATTCTTTCTATGGAGCCCATTCTATATATTTCACTAAAATGTATGGAGTATGCGTAGGAAAGGGAGGAATAAACTTTGCTTTCCCCAAATGGAAACATACAGGGCAAGTTCACCATTACAAAATTCCCAAATAACAGCTGCTAAATAAAGACAGTATCCCAAACCACCTCTCGGTATACTGGTGTTGTTCTCTTGAGCTTTTCTCTGTTCTCTCCCTCACACTAACAGCAGCTCTCTATGAGCTGAGAAATAGTCCCATCAGCGAGAGTCATAAGGCTGCTCGTGATCATGGAAGCCCCCTGACGATATGCCCCATATTTCTCTAAAGTGTGGTTTTCAACAGGGTGGGAGGAGTTTCCAATCTCACTCTTTCTTCGACCAGCCAAACCTGAGAGATAAAATGAGATGAAAACGACACAATTGTTGCACATACAAAATCTGATGTGGCTGACTAATCTTATTGGGTGGTGCTGTTGATGCCCCAGAATGTTCCATTATGCCCAAAGGCAACAGGTAGTTTAAGCAGAGGTTGATAGGCCATCTGCCACCTCTGGGGGTTTCATGGATGTGATTAAAACAGGCAAGATGTTGGATGCAGGGTTGCAGTGCAGGTCCAACCTCTTTGCCTATACATCTGACATAAATGCCCATGTGAAAGAGGGAAGTTTGAATCCTGAGGCCGCAGCCACCATCTTGCCGGTTTTATCCACCTTCCATTGTGGATGCCAATGGACAGACCACAGTTTGCACACTTTTTCCATTCTCCAACAATCTCTGGGTTGCTGTAACTACAGTGAAGCTACCTGGAGTTCCCTCAGTGTCCCAATTGGAGGGTGAGCCTTTGTGTGTCTCCTCTACAGTTGGAATTATAGTAAAAGGAATGAACTGGAGAGTAGATGGCTGTTTTAGTCCCCACTTGCACAGATAATGGCCTCGCAAACATTTTGCTCTGTCCCCATAATGCTGCCTTCCTCTAATTCTCAGCTCATGAGTAAGGCAGGCTTAAATTGCCCTTAGCTGCACCAGTGCTAAAGTGGCATTTTCCTTCTTATTCCAACACTATCTAAGGGCAGCCTCAAGTCGGTAAAATCCATTAGTCTCTGCCACCCATTAACCCAGGAGAGAAATTAGGTGAATGCAGTGTGTTGAAAATGCGATAGGAGAAGGATCACATGGAGATGATGCGTTTCCTAGCTGGTATTATTTCCTGCTGACTCAAGGATGAGTGGTAGGCATTATGCTTGGGTACAGAAATGCCCCAAGACTGATTGGATTGGCAGAGATGTCACGCATACCTATGCGAGTGACTGTAAATCATTTTATACATTGGGAGAAAGCCACTCTAAATGCAGCAATACTGGGTCAACACTGGTCTCAATCACAACTGTGATGGGAGAAGATGTCTAGAAAGTGTTTCTTCTCCCACATAGAGGAAGGCATGTTCATAGTAAGCCCCGCCCACCCACCAGAATGCTTATTGTCTTCATCTAATCCTCCTTATAACTGTGCAAAGTGCCATTGTTCTTGAGATCCACGTCAGCTGAAATGTTATGCCTCTGCAAAACGACATTTCCTTTTTCAGACAGCAACTTCTCTTCAATCGCTCATTGAGGGGTGCATTTTTTGTGGTTTTGAGTAAAACTACACTGGTCTGGATATTTCCACCTGGCAGTATGATATTGCAGTAATCCTACTTCCTAGAACAAGGAGAGAACAAAAGCAGGGCTTTGATTGGGTATCACATTAAAGGTACTGTTTTTATTCTGGGGTTGTTGTTTTCGGGATACTTACATATGGCCTTAAATAAGTACGTGGAAGAATTTTTTTTATTTAGTTCTGTTTGATGTAACTTTGCCAAATTTGCATAATGATCTAAATAAAATTATACTCCAACTAAAGGTTTAAGAAATGGACCCTAGATACAAAAACATACTCTATTAGAAAAATACTTAAAAATATATATTAGGCAAAGCCTAATAGAAAAATTAGGAGAAATGTAAACGTATTTTCCAAATGTATTTACATTTGGAAAATATGAAAGCTCATGTAAAAATAAGCAAATATTTAAACCACATGAAGCAGAATTTGAAAGCTTTTTCCTTTCTATTTTTAAGACTATCTCTCTCTCTCTCCCTCCCTCTCCCTCTCTCTCTGTCTCTCTGTGTATATATCATCATCATCATCATCATTTTAGCCATTGTCTATCCTCTGCAGGATGAAGGCCTCTTCTGTATGTTTCCAACCAATACAGTTCCAAGCTTTTTTTTTTTTTTTTTTGCTCTTTGGGCAAAATAGCAATGTTGATGTCATCAATCCATCTTGTTTTAGGTTTCTTTTGTGGATGCTTTTTATCAAGTGGGATCCATTCTATGTTCGTGTGTATATGTGTGTGTGTTACTATATTCTCTGAAGCTGCAAAAGATCTGATTCAGATTTCTGGGATCTGTTTTATTTTCTATTAAAATTGATAGCTAGACAGAAATATGACAGATAAGGCGGTTCAGAGATAAGGAGCGCAGATATTCTAAAAAATAAATAGGAATGTGCATTTCCAGGGAGTTTGTTTTAATAATGAACTCACAAATGAACTAAACACAGAAGTCCTGATGATTGCTATGTAATTATGCCACTCAGTTCTGATTACTGAGGAGCAAGTCCAGAGGATATGACTGTTTTCAAGCTCCTCTTGTATTCTTTCCAGGGTTCTCTGTACAACTCGAGTGCTGGACTAGACCACATTTTTGATCTGCTCTAATATAACTTTTTGTTCTAACATATTCAAAGAGATTTGTTTCTCTGACTATAGAAAGCGCCAGCCATCTCGATTATTTCAATATTATTTTACTAAACCTATAGGCAGCGTGGTGCCATTCTCTCAAAGGTTTGCATATGCAACTGACTATGTTTGCAACTGCAAAATGATTGTGACCGCATTCCCTCTTGAAGTCCTATCCAAAGAACAATGATCACATGGGGAGCTATGACTAAAGGAGCCACAGTGAAAATAAAAGTGAATCATCTCTAGTAAAATCCCCATCACTGGTCCTTCCCTGAGGTTTTTCTACTCCATGTCTGAATCTTTTGGAGAGGAGAGTTTTCACTTGATTGTGGTTGAAAGTCTTTTGTTGCAACAATGGGGCAGCCCTCTCTGGAGGAGGGACAGGAAATTGTAATTAGGCATAGTAGGCAGTGTGTGACCTGTCACGTTTTAAAGAAATATAAAGCATGAATCTGAATGACTAATAGAGCTGAAAGCCTCCATTTTGCGTTTTCCCCTTTTTCCTAAAATACAAAATTGACTGCAGAGTCCTACTATTTGAAGATAAGCCTTGACAAGTGGAAAGGAATATTAGTTTGCCAATTAATCCCATTGCTAAGGCCAGCCAAGTAAACCAAAAGACCAAAAACAAACTAAAAAGCGAAAAGAAAACAAAGAACACCACCACCCATGAGATATTTCATGTTTGGTCTGAAATCTGAATCTTGGATTTGAAAAATAAGCTAGAAGCCAGATATTGCTTTAGGGTAGCATTTCTTAACCTCAGCCACTTTAAGATCTACAGGCTGGGAGCTAAAATCCGTATCTTAAACAATGCTCTAAGTCAGTGGTGGCGAACTTATGGCACGCGTGCCAGAGGTGGCACTCAGAGCCCTCTCTGTGGCATGCATGCCATCGCCCCAGCCCTGCCTCTCCCCACAGCCCCCTCCTCACCATCAGCCCCCCAGAGGAGAGTCACCCCCGGGCGCGGCGCACGTGGAGCAGCACTGCCAAGGACATAGCAGCTGGGCAGACTTTAACAAGACTCTGCCCTCGTGCCCCACGTGCGCAGATGATGCGAGGCGTGGGCAGAGGGCGTGGCTACCATGGCGCTGCTGGGCCGCCATGGCGATCTGCAGTGGGCCATGGAAGTGGTGGGTGGCGCTGTGGGCGGTGGGGGCGGTTTTTGGGCACTTGGTCTCTAAAAGGTTCGCCATCACTGCTCTAGGTTTTGCAAGTTTAACTGACACATGGCATAGATTCACCGGACCTGAGCTGAGCACGACTGCTTTAGGACCACCACAGACCAACATTTTCAAGGCAGTCTTACCTTCATCAAATAACCAAACTTTTCAGAAACCTTTGTAAATAGGCATGTAAACATGAAAAAAATGGGATATGTGTACCTACTTAAAAAGTATAATTGGCCAGATAATTCCAAATCAGGCAATAGCTTAAAGCACAGGTGTCAAACTTGCCGTGTCACGTGACGTTGTGACACATCGTGACTTTTTTTGCATTGCCAGAGCTGGGGTGGGCGCAGCCTCTGCATGATGCAACCAGCCCACGGGCTGGCAGTTTGACACCCCTGGTTTAAAGGATCCATCCCCTATCTGTTCCTCTCCAAACACTACAGTCTTTAAGAATTCCTGCTTGATTGGTAACTGAAAATTCTGTGACATTCCAATACACACAGAGGACAACAGGTTAAAGAAAAAGTTGCCAGGATATATTTTTTATGCCGATCTGCTTTAATGTGATTTGTTTGTTTTTAGAAACAAATCAAAACCAGTCAACTGTGGTTAACTCAGCAAACAATGACTAAACCAGTAATAGTTCTATGCATTATTTAAAACAGCGGCTAGGTTTAATCTTCTGATTAAGTATCAGTATGTTTCCCCTGAAACTGTCCAGCCATTTGATTTCTTATCCAAGAAAGGATATCCATATGGGCTGGAAGCAAGGGGTGATTTCTTTCCAGGCAATTGATTTTCAAGAGATTAAGAGAACTGAGTCCTTGGGGGACATCTATCTAGTCACAAGGCATACTCTTCAAGCCAAGTTTGACTGGATCTCAGCTTTTGAAACAAAATGAGTACATTTTGAAAGCTCGTCTAAACATAGGACAAACATAGCAATTAGGCTGATGCACTTCTGAGAAAAATAAGCAAGAACCACTATGAGAAATAAATCCTTGGGGACATCAATCTACTCACAGGAATGCTCTCAGAGACCAGATAGTTTGACTAGACCTCCGCTTGTAAAACAAAACGAGTAAATTTTGAAAGCTCTTCTAAACAGAGACAAACATAGTTCTTAGGCTGAGGCACTTCTAAGAAAAATCAGCAAGAACCACCGTGAGACCTTGACGTGCCTTTGCATATAAAATCAGCTAGGATGACCAGGCTAATTCTCACACTTTCACCCTGGAAGCTTTCTTTCCTTATTGAGCAGGGGCTGCTTAAGAAAAACAAATGTTGCATGAAGGCAGCCTTTCCACTTACCCCGGGGACATTTGGTAATAAAGAACTTCCTGAGAAAAAGCTGTCCCAAGAAAAGCTAATCACAAAACACTCGGCTGAATCATAGATGAGACAGATGCCAGCTACTTCCAAGCTATTCTCAAGACGTTTCTACACAGAATGATATGACACTGTATCTCTAACTTCCATAATTCCATATGATTTAGATTTACTACATAATGATTCCATTCTTCTGAACACAGAGGGGATAACTAAAACCATAATTTCACATTTACTACAGTTATGGGAGAAGGAGACTGATGTTAAATCACAGACAGCTTGGCCTCTATGGTCTATTTAAACTGGAAACCTACAAGGGACTGTTGCTGCAACAAATGGGGAAATACAATAGACCAGGGGTCCCCAGCCCTTGGTCCGTGGACCTGCATCGGTCTGTAGCATGCCAGCAACTGGGCTGCACAAAGTCCCATCCACAGTATGCAGCCAGGATGGAAAACCACGCCACCTCTGGTCCGTGGAAAACCCTTTCTCCACGGAACCGATCCCTGGTGCCCAAAAGGTTGGGGGTCGCAATAGTAGACCCAACAGAGAGTAGAGCAGGTCAGAAATCTATTTGCATCACAATTATCATTACAACACCTTCTTTGAAATGCAGGCTCTTTGGACTTTAAATGTGGATGATAGAAAACCAGATATTTTGCTGAGAGTGGTAGGATGCATGGCATTTTGTGGCATAGGGCAGGAGAGGTCTATTTTACAAGTCAATCCTGTAACCGAGCAAGATACAGTATATAAGGGTACCTCTGGATATGGAAATACATACATATTGCAAGTCTGTATAGATTTCAGGCTTCCCTCCGAGGGTTTGGAATTTTTAACGGGAGATCGGGTGAGGTAGGATGGGAGAATGGGAAGGAGGTACAGTGAATCCACCCATTCTGGATTCCTTTTGGTTCCACTTCTTTAGTGCTTGCAAACAAGCATTATTAAAAAAAAACCAAAAAAACAACCACGGTATGCCTCCGCAAAAAAAGAGAAAGGGGGAACTCAGGAGAATGTTCTCTTTCTGGCTGTCCCCAGTCGTGAACTGTGAAAGGTATAAAGCTGGTTGCTGGGATACTGACAACGAAGAATGGGGTTGTCTGCATTTACAAGTTCCTTACAGAGCATTCCCTGCTGTTTTCCATCCCTGTAAGGAAAAGAGGAGGCCTGGGGCTGAAAGGGCCAGAAAGCTAAGGAGGGGCACAGTTCTGGTACCATCATTACCTCCTGACACGACTCCCTCTCAGTGTTACCTTACCATCTGTTCTCATACTCCCTGATAGTACCACCCACCCTCAAAAGCAGCCAACTGGGGACAAGCTCAGGTGAAAAGGCTTTGTTTGTAGACAGAGTGGGAAGTAAACGGGCACTCCTTGGGTGCAACACTATAACTTGGCAGGAGAGAACTGTAAATAGACCTGGAGTTACTATTCAGTCAGCAGAAAGAAAAACTAGACTCTGTTATTCCAAGGGTGAGATGACAACCATGCAAAGGGAGGCCTGCCAAAGACTGTGCAGGGAAACAGTGTGTGGGCTCCAGTCCTTGCAGAACACAAAAGAGGCAGCCATGCTCTTTACCCAGGATCAAAAATGGTCGGGGGAATGGTGAGGCCTGGTGGGCAAAGGAGACTGATCAAACCTGAAGAAGCAGGCAACGGGCAAGATACTCACATATTGACTAGGGCTCTGGAAGAGTCGGCAAGAGCACAGAAATTGGCAGCACAGAGGGTCCCGGTGGTACAAAAGGAGCAGCAGCACCAAAATGGCCACAATGAACACAGAGGAAGAAACTGATAACAAAGAAGAGAAAAAGGGAAATACAATGAAACATCTTGCAGTTTCCAAACACCATCAAGCTCACTAAAATCTCTACAAAGTATGTATTCAGCTTCAGCCCAGACTTCCCCAAGGTCTACCACACTTGTCATCCCCAATGAGGAGAGTTGCTGTCCTAGAGGATGGTTAAAGATACTTCTAATGCCAATGAGAAAAGCAAGGAAGTCAAAAGGCCCAAAGCTGAAATAGCAAATGTATTATTGCAGCAATGGGAATGCAATCAGTTTGAGAGCCCATGGCGCCAAGGACATCTTAAAAATCAAGGTATCAGGCATAGTTTTCTCCGTCATATTACGTTTTTTTTTCTTTTAATACAACTACAGGTATATATAGCTGTACATTAGTCAAATAAATCCCTACTATAACCAAGATATAGGGGTCTTCTTAGTGAAGGATTTTAGAGATATCCTTTAACATTCTCTTTTAATTGGTGATCTTCAGGTATAGTAAATTTCAGCTCCTACTATCTTCAACAGTGCTGGCTGCAAATGATATCAACAATATGGACTGTATCAGGTTGGACTAGGGGTTTTAGTCTACTGACAGGGATATGGGGAGATTGCAGTCAAAATGTTTGCATTGTCAGACCAAACTGCTCTTCTTAAATGTAAAATTACTTCTACTATTTATCAGTTTTGACTTTCCTCCCAAATTACTTCTTCATCCCTGGATTCTAATAGGAAGGAAGGAAGGAAGGAAGGAAGGAAGGAAGGAAGGAAGGAAGGAAGGAAGGAAGGAAGGAAGGAAATTATTTTACCAGGTTTTGCTTTACCAATTTACTCTCTCCTTAATCCCTGCCTCTCCCTTTTCCTTATTCTTAGAACATAAATTCGTGGGCAGGCCTTTCTTTATTCTACTCTACATAGTGCTCAGTAAGAGGGAAACATTTGACAAATAATTAAGTGAAATTTCTATATCTCACATAGTGCAGTAAAAATATCAGCAATTACATAGTTGTTGAACACAGAGGACTAAGCTTCCAGCCTTTAGAATCTGTAATTCTACTGAATGTTTACTTCACAGCAGTCCCGTTGGCTTTTAAAGGCCTGGAATGAGGAGCTCTGGATGATGCTTTTTATTTCTGCATGTCCAGATTTCTACCACTTGTGAAGATTAGATGATAACATTTCCTTCCTGCACAAGATATTAAGTTCTCAATTGTAATTTGTTTCTGAAGAAATTCATTGAAATAAACCAAACATCACTAACTGCAGCTCTTAGATGAATCCAGCAGTTTCATTTTAGCTAAACTCTATTTGGTTCCATTTTCACAATCTGATGTCTTCACATATATTGGTCTATGACTCTCAATATCTCTACAGATAATCCTCGACTTACAACAGTTTGCTTAGTAACTGTTCAAAATTACAACGGCACTAAAAAAAAGTCACGTGATTTACATTTGGATGCTTGACAATCGACTCATATTTATGATAGTTGCATTGTCCTGGAGTGACATGATTACCCTTTGCAACGTTCTGACTAGCAAAGTCAATGGGCAAACCAGTTTCACTTAACAATCGTGTTTACTAATTTAACAACTGCAGTGATTCACTTAACAAATATGGCAAGAAAAGTCATAAAATGGGGCAAAACTTACTTAACAAATTTCTCACTTAGCAACATAAATTTTGGGCTCAGTTGTGGTCATAAGTTGAGGACTATCTTTATTAGCTTCTGGGAATTCTGGATGATATAGTCTACTCTATCACTTCTGGAGAAGTGGGAAATACTGTGTAAAGACTTTGGGTGAATACAGTTTAGAAAATACAACAGGCTGCTGCACTATATTTTTCTCTGCAGTGTCACAGTAATAGAGCTCATAAATTAATGTTAAAATTCGGATCTGTCAGTTGAGGCATATGTTCAAAAAGAACAAATTGAACATTTTCAAAAAATGTTTATATTTTTTGGCTATTTTTCTAATTAAGATGTTAATTTAAGCATCCCGATTTCACATGCAGAAAACTGATTTTAAATAACCTGCATCAAATATGGCTAGATCAATGAAGTTAATAGAAAGAAAACTGGAATTTATTTAGAGTCCATGGAGTCAGCAGAATTCTCATAGGCTTTGTATTTATTGGGATTTTATTAGTTTAAATTAGCTTTTCTGATTTGCTCTGGAAAAATGTGGTTGCTCAGCACTATGTTCATGTTGCAAGCAGGATCAAATTAAATTATGAGTCCCAAAATAATTGTATTTTAAAAAAGCCAATTCACCAATGTTGATTTGGCAGGATGGAGAACAAAGCCAAGACTACCAACATGAAGTTCACCCAAGATTAAATTTCTGCTTTAAGATAAAACAGATGAACAAGACTGGAAGTAATACCCCTGGACTGATATTGATGCATGTGGGGGAAAAAAAAAAAATCTCTGGGCTTTGAAGTTAAACAAGAATTAGTGGTCAGAAAATTTGAGCAAATGTATACTGCATCACCACAAGTAGAGCATTAGGGGATTTGGCCAACTGACCCTAAAGTACTGTGTCCAATTTGAGGCACCAAAGTTTAAGAATATCCTATCCATCCATCCATTCAACATTATCTCCAAACAGCATAAGCACGATAATCACCTAGTGAGCTTCAGGGAAAAATGAGGGCTTGAAGGGTCTTCCCAATCTAACACAAAAGGAACTAAGGAAAAAAAGGGAACATTTATGCTTAAACAGGAGAAGATAAATGATAGGTGGAAAAAATGCTTTCTTGCACCTGAAAGGTCTGAACTTTAATCAGCTCAAATGATAAGGGAAAGCATCAGGGTAAACACCAGAAAGAATTTCTTGATCCAAAGCACTGTTTGTGAATAGATGGCTACTTCTATCAGAAGTGCTGTAGAAGTAGACTTCCTGGGTCGACAAAACAGTGGACAAAATGACCTTTGAGGTCTCTTCCAACCCTCCAATTTGTTTGCTACACAGCTGTGATTCACGCATCACATTAACTTATGTAGTTGGTTTGATTTTAGCTTCAAGTGTTCTGCAAACCCAGGCTTCAAAGTTTATGGTTTAGGATGCAATGGGAATCCTATTGATTAATGAAACAAAATAAACCAGGAAGCCTTGCAGGGCACATCTGGGACAGGAGACAAGGCAAAAAGATATATATGCTCATGTGACACTGAATGTAGCTTTTGGCCTAGGGAGAAATCTTTAAGTAAGAAATGTTCTGAAGCCAAATTGTGCATTTCTACAGAGTGTTATTCCAATACATTTGGTAGGACTGGAGGAGGGGCTGTTTTAAAGTAGCTATATTCAAACTGTAAAACTCTTTATCCTGGGAAATATACCTAATACCAGCTGTGATCACTAGCATGCTTTTATCTATCGGGCAGGTTAGGTTTCTCCAATTTATCTATTGATTTCTTTTCATTGGTGTGTTTAATGCTGCGTATTTATAAATAAGCACAATTTTTTTAAAAAAATAACATTTCATGACAATTACAACTTGTGTTTTTAATACTATTCTTAGTTATTCTACCTTATGAATTTGGGGGCATTTTTTTTGATTGAAAGGTAGGTATATTTTCTATTTGAACCATCTTGAAAAGATCCTAAAAATAAAAAAAACTTCTAAGGGATGGATAACTTTGTCAATATTTGTGGTTAGTTAAGACAGTAAGTATCACAGGACACTGTCACGTTGTGAAACTCCAACATTTTTTTTTATAAAATATGATCAAATTCTTTTCGTTCTACATTCTCAAACAAAATATGCACAATAAAGAAGGATGCAAGGGACAGACTGTCTACAATCAGGGATCCCAGAATTATTTAGATTATAGAAGAATCTGTAACTGTTATTTGCTTAAAATTGTCTTCACATTTTTTTATTAGTGTGGATAAAAATACAATTTGCTGTAGCAGAGGTATAAATGCATGGCCTCCAGAGGTTACTGAAGCACAATTCCTTACATCCTGCATCCCATTGGCCATCTTAATGCCCCTGCTCCTTCCTCTCATGGAGCTATAGAAGTATGCAAGACTGAATTTCAAAGATGTCTACCCATTAGTCAGAAATATTTCTGTGGCTTTCAAAAATATAAAATATAAACACATCTATTTTGATTTTGGCTTGATAATACAAAGCATTATACTTAGGTCTCCATCTACATATTTTCATGCAAAGAAAATACAAAAAAAGAAAAAAAGAAAATGTTGGTGCCCTAATTGCAGCCTTAAGTCATTTGATTTTGATGGTATATTTTTCTTAATAAACGATACAGCATATCCTGTTCCTATGGCAAATATGTCAGCAACACATGGCTACGTGATGACTCTTGATCAGCTTGTCCAAAGGCTGAGGCAATTTCTGAAGTCAACATTTTGATAATGAATCACCTGGCATATTATAAACAGTTTATGGCGTCAAATGATTTTTATTGTGTTTCAAATGATTTTTATTATAATGTTTTCAGTTATTTTGTTGCATTGTTTTTGTTGTTAACTTTGTACTCTGCTCAGAGTCACATTGTGAGATGGGTGGCTATATAAAGTTACCAAATAAATTAAATAAACTACAGCACAGGTAGGACCTATATGAATACTGTATGCTCTAAATTAGAATTCCCTGCCAAGGAGCTACAATGATTTCTCCCTATTTTCTCACACAGATACAAGAGAGCACCATGCACAAAGATACTGGCTAATTCACACATGACACTATGCCTCAATGTGGCTTGGTTTGATTTTGATTTAGTGCCAAATAGCCATAGTTAACATCTTAATACAATGTATATACCCAGCTGACTGTGGTTAGTGAGCAAACCAGGATCAAATATGCAATGGCTTAGTACAGCATTACTTCTGCAACTGAAATCTGGGTTTGATTCTAGAGCCACGATAAACAGAATATTATATCTGTAATTCAGCTTTTCCCAATCTGTTTCCTTCCTTAGTCCTAATGCCCCTGGAGTGTATTTACTTAGACCACTTTTCTAAAAAAAAAAAAAA